CCTGGGGGTGTAGATTCAATTACCTCTCTTCTTAGGATAGCCAATCAATGACCAGAAGAGAGGCCAGTGGGCGTGAATTAGTTTTCCTGCGTAGACGCGATTTTTCAAGTGTTTTCTCATGCACTGACATTGATAATATTGAACAAACAACTTTGATACTTGACGTAGATACAAATGGAAATCAACAAACAAGCACCGCATACAGTAATGTCAACCCAATTGATTATTTATTAGATGACAACAGGTCATATTATCAAGTTGCAGTTACAATGAAATGATTTTTTAATCATTGAGATATAAGAAATGCTGTCGGTAACTACAATAACTAAAAGCTATGAAACATCAGAGTTCGTACAACTAAAAAGAAAAGAGATTGGACAGCACGAATGGTTCAAAACTATTCAAGGTGATCTGGATATTTCGTTAGCTGGAATGATGAAAACAACGAGACTTCAAAGATCTGGTACCAAGCAAATAAATGTGTATTTGGTAAGATGAATCCAACAGAGGGATTTAATAACTCACAGTATTTGCACCTGATTAGATGACTTGAATGGACTGAATAAGCCTAAAACGGATTTTCAATTTTTAATAGGAACCGTGTTAACCCTATAGTTGAGTAGTTTTCACAACGAATGTTTTGAAAAAAGTCAATATTGATGGTGAGATTTAACTGATCATTATTTGTGGAGTGGTCATATGCCTCAATTTTTTGAGCATGAATGAGAATTTTACTAAAACAGGCACAAAATCATACAGAATGAGTAAGTAAAAAACCTTTTATCTATAAACAATGAAGACTATTTTAAAATGTAACTGGATTGTAAACGAAACGTGATCAATACCGAATATGTAGTATAAATAAAACTTAGAAACAGGGAGAAGTAGAGTGAGTTCGATGAATTTCTCACTAACAATATACATCATTATGCCTTATGACCTTTTACCTTAAGGGGGAAATGTTATTTGCGAAGAATGATGTAACTATTCACCTTTCGATGCAAATAGTTTGACGATTAGATCCTGAAAGTAAATTAAAAGTTCTTCATAAAATGCATTCCCTAGACTATCAAATATTTTCTAGGATATTCTGTAATTACATATAACATATCCTGTTTGCGTACTATGACTAACCTACTTTACTGAAAACTTAGGTTTCCTTTTTCCAAATACTGAAACTTTCCACAGAATATTATTTACATTCTTTTGTGTAGTGCCTAAGAACCCCAGTTATCTTTAAGACTACTTGGGCTATGGTCCCCATTGATCTTATTTGATTAGACTCCATAAAACAATCTCTGCTTCACGCTCATCGTTTCATAAATTAACTCCAGGATATTAACACTTTAAAGTCACATAACGGAGATTATGTTGACGGCATGATATATATTGCATTGAAAGTTAAGGATATATAAATAGCCCTTCTTTTTGCCATGAACTATATGAATTTGAGCCAGCTGATTGTCGAAGGCATAAGACTTACCAGTTTTGCGACAACCGCGAAGACTGCATGAAATTTAAATAGGTATATAACTATGACATTTATGCATAACTGAATGTATAGGCATCAGTAAGTGAAAATGGGAGTTATATATTCAAAAGAAATAAACTTGACTTCTTTGTTTACCCTGGCATAATATATGGCAAGACCACTATGATATATTCTTGAGCGTTCTTCGCTTCGCCAGTTATTCATGTGAAGTTGCGGCTCATTGGTCTAGGGGGATGATTTCTAACCAATGGGTCACGGGATCAAACACCCCTCCGCCTACCAAGGTTTGGGGAGCCAAGCAGTATTACTAGTCCTCACACAGTGGCTGGTTTATAGCCTACTACATGAATATGCGTAAGGTTAGGGAATGGATTTAGATTTTACTCGTTATTGACTTTTACTATCTTAGTAATGTAATTTAGATTTCATAACAAGCATTGCCGGTATCCGTTACGTAACATATAACTTATTCCGTTTTCATATTGTATGCACATTAATGTTCATTCTAAAGATTATGAGTCGTGATGTGTTCTTATCATCAAGTTTCCCACAACCTTTCAGTTGCATAGTCATCAACCCCAATAGACAGTCTATTCTGCATATATTTCAATTGCAATCAACATGACGCCATTTATTCACTTTTAAAACTTCAATTGCATTCGATAGTGTCCAATTATAATACTAACTGCCTTAGGAGACATGGTTAATCGGTTCAAGCATTAGATTCCCAAGTAACAGTCTTAAAGCTTAGATCTTTCTCTCCCGACGGTTATTTAACAAGATTAGAGCACATACTTCAAGTGTAATTTACAACCTGATTAGCACTTGCTAAATTGTTTCAACTGAAGATTTTATTCATGCTTTATACCAACTGCCTTAGAATAATATTCATGGACTAATAACACTAAAACTATACATCGCACAAGAAGTGGCTACCGTGTAGTGGATAACGCTCTTGCGTTTGAAGCGATCGCTCCCGAATCCCGGTAGGGACAACATTACTCACTGGGAGGTAGGTACATCCAACTGACGAGTCCGAAATAAGACGAAATGCGCATCCTGGATCCCACTACTCATCATCACTATAATAACCAGTAAGTCAACCTGACTGCCCGAACCTCGGTAGGTGGAGCGGTCGAACCTGTGATCCACTCCACCCGCTAAGTTTGAAAGAGAGATAACTGAAACCAAGTGATTCGCCTTAATATCTTTCTTATTTAGTAAGTTGATGCAATCACAAGCAGTTGGAAACTAACCAAAACATAACTAATACATTGGTCAGTGATTCCTTGTAAAATGAAATTGCTGCTTTATGACACCTTTGTAATTTAACAACCACACCTCTAGAGAAATATGAAAAGCACCTAAAGTTTACTACTACAAATTATACTCATGTATTATTCTGTTTTCAAAGTTTAATATCTGCATCCAGCATCACCAAGGTTGTTTTTTCCTCTGAAAAAAAGTAACTTTAATCTGAAATAAACATACTTGCAAATCACCTCCTGAGGATGAATGATACACATTGTCAGCTAACGTCAGAAACATGTTGAAACTTAAAAGTGAGTCTAGATTTTTAAAATACTATCCTATTAGAATAATCTAAAGGAAAGTCGTTGGAGAAAAAAAAGATGAACACACGTATATCCACACAGGTTTGTCCAATGTGTTTATCCTATATCCTGCGTTTCTTTTATCATATACTACTAAAGAAGAAATAAAAACCGGTGTCTGATAATCAAAACGATCACAGTAATTTATAAAAAAGGAATCTTTTCTATATTGTAGATTTATTGCCAGATGTGGGTGTAAATATGTATCAGTGTATGTGTATGTATGTATATGCATGCCAATTATCATCATCACTATCAATAACTTAAAAACAATGAAGTAAAACAACAAAAGACAATCGTGAAAAGAAGAGAAAAAAAACAGTATGTATAAGCATATATCAACCAACATTCGTAGAAAATAAGGCAATGATAATAACAGCAATAACAACAATTCATAATACCAACAATAATAGGTACACAATATTAATTCTTTTACAAGTGTTATCATTATTATCATTAACGTACAAATTATTAATAACAAGATAAACAAAATAAAAATGAAAGATAAAAAAAGAAAGAAAAAACTTGAACTGATTTATACAGAAAACAAATGAATACACAATCTGTGTGTGTGTGTTGAGTACTGAATAGACAGGTGACATGTCGAAATCCACTTAAACACATACACACACACATGCACACTGAAATGTGGAGACTAGATAAGACTTTTTTCACCACCAAAGAATACTGGTAAGAAACAGCTATGAACTGAGTAATCATACACAAAGTTAAATATATAAAAGAGGATAAAATGAAAGTATAATTACAAAAGAGTATGGAAAACAGTAGAAATGAGAGTGTACACATACACACACACACACATACATTTCGTATATCTCCAGATGAACCGATAGTTGAGGAGAAACACTTCCAGAATTTTATTAATCTGTCAAAAAGAAAATCATCGAATGTTCCTACCAAGACATAAAGGTGAATTTATTTACATAAGAGACAAACTCGAACACAAATTATTGAGATTAACAATGCACATTTCAGTTGGGGGGATTGAATCACCCAAGAAAAGCCGAATTTGAAGGGAAAAAAAACTCAAATACACAACACAATTCGAAAGGCAAAACACTAAAAAATTTAATTCATTTAAAGCCTCATAATCTACGACAAGTTTGATAAAGAATTTACAAGAGTTATCAGTAATAAATACTAAAGCATCTTTCGCTTCCCTTGTGTGTGGTGGGTATGACAGGAGATGTAATGTACAAATCTTGGATAGTAATCATAAAGAACACTGAAGGCGGAAAAAAGGTTGTTTTTTTTCACTATAAATACATATTAGTCATGTTCTGAGAAAGGCAGATGTTGTTAGAATGCCAGTAGACATCCGACAAAACCAATATCATTATATTGTGATCAGCCGATTGGCCAAGAGGAAGGAAGGCATTGTAAACAAAGAAGGTAATACAACATTTATACAAAACAAGGAAGAATAGTATAGCAATACTAAGTCATCAAAGTTATTGTTAGTCAATGGAAACGCTGATTGATAAATGAGTCAACACTATTAATATTATTGATTTAAACATTCCACATCATAAAATAAAGCTGGAAAGAAGGAACCCCTAGAGTTAGTATATATACAAAGAGGTTCAGTGAGAAATTCAAAGGTAAAATGATGAGTTAATGAAAAAAATGCTACGAAATGGGCTACATTAAGAAAATGAAGAAGAGGAAGTGAGCAGATCACCACACTGATGAACGTCATTGTTCACTGTCATGAGAGGAGAATGAAGCAAATGCATTCCCTTTAAATACGATTTCAAGAGGCTGAAAGTCAATAAGCGAAAAGTAATGCCTCCAATTACAATAACTACCTAAACATAAATAGGCTGTCCTCACAAAATGAAGGACTAGGATAATAAAACGAAGCAGTAAATGTTTCATTGTTGTTGGAGTGCTGCCTGAATTTGCTGTTGTTGTTGTAAAGCCTGATGATGAGCTACCTGTTGCTGTTGTTGATGATGGTAGGCTGCTGCAGCCATTAGACCCGCCTGTTGTTGATACTGTTGTTGCTGCTGTTGTTGTTGTAAAGTTATCGCAGCTGCAGTCGCTGACCCTTGTGAGACGGCACCAGGACCCTGATTACTGGCCCCAGCGTTAGCAGCTGCTGCTGCAAGCATAAAACCAGGATGTTGTTGTTGGTACAATGCAGCCGCTGCGGCAGCGTTTGTGAATGCAGCTAGTCGGTAGTTACTAACTGCTGCGGCAGTTCCCTCTTGTTGTCCCATCAAAAAGTGAGCAGAATGTTGAACTCGAGCAAGCTGTTCTTCCTGGGTTGAATTTACAATCACAGATGCCGATGTGCCATTGATTACCGTTCCAGTATTTGAGGATACTAACACTCCAGTATGAGGATTGGCTATTGCAGCAGCTTGCGAAACTCCTGCGGCAGCGGCCATAGCTGCTAATCTTTGTTGATGCTGTTGTTGTAATAGAAGCTGTTGATGCTGTAACTGCTGATGGGCAACAGTCTGTTGAGCATCCGCAGGGGAATAATTAGTAATCACTTGTAGCTGAGTGGCAGCGATCGCAGAAGTATTCTGATTATTAGCTGTATTCACACTATTTTGCTGCCGCTGCTGAGCAGCAGCGGCTGCAGCAACTTGTGCCTGAGCAGCAGCCAATGCAAAACTAGCCGGATCTGTCGAGGAAGCGAGAATTAAACCAGCTGTCATTCCTTCCTGAGGATGACAAAAAAACGTGGTTGGAGTACCAGTAGCTGCTGCTACTGTACCCCCATGGTTACTAGGATTGAAAAGGAAGTTATGAGCCGCTTGCTGATGTGCTGCGAGAGCCACGGCATGTTGTTGCTGCTGTAACTGTTGAGTAGCTTGATGGTGAAGCTGGAATTGTTGTGCTTGGTTAGTAGCAGTTTGATTACAACTCCCATGACCTTGACCAGAGACTGCAACCAAATGAGTACCAGCTGCAGCAACAGCCGCTGCATAGTTAGCCTGTTGCTGTTGTAACAACTGTTGGTGCTGAACAACAGCCGCCTGCTGTTGTAACTGTTGTAGTTGCTGTTGCTGAGCTGCTGTCGCATGAAAACCAACAACCTGAGGGAAAATAGTTTGACCAGTCTACAAATAAAGTAAAAGAATGTATGTACAAGCGATTTCACAAAGATGCATTGTTTAGAGAATTTTCAAGTCTAAGGTATAATCTATTCAACTAATTTTTAGCAACTTCTGAAAGATGTTAATAAAGTCATGTGAATCTGAAAATGAAAGAGTTTAGACGCAGCCACCCATTTAGCGTCTCTCCAAAGTTCATTGAAGTGATATCTATGAGGTGAGATCAAGTCGTTCGGAAGGATTTCATTCACATCTCGCCACAGTAAAGGTCCTGGCTATTCCAAACCTGGATTCTGATTTTTACATACAAAAACATTTTGCCCATGTTATGAACTAAAAGTAGTCACCTAATTGTATGCGGAAGTGATATGACGATAGTCAATAGAAAAAGCGAATATGGCTACGATTCAGTGTTGCGTGACACTACGATCAGAGCTCATATGAGAAAAATAGTCGACTACTTTATTACACTCGATTAACGACTATCCCCATAATTGAGTAGTAATCAAAAAGATTGATAAGTTTATCGTATCGTATCATTGAGTTAAATATAAACGAAAGCATATATACAAATCAAAATAATGTGAACAGAAATCGCCCAAGGGAAAAATGTGCAACTGATTACAAGTAAGAGTGAAAATCACAAGACAGTAATTGGCTTCATAACAATGTATTGAACCCTCCCTTTCTGTCTATCGCTTCAATTCAGTTCGTTTTGCTTACATGGCATTAAATTTCAAACTTTGATTAGTTTTCTATTTAATCAATCTTTATTTTCTTCCAAAAATCTTCACTTCAACATTTGAAATCCCTTTTCCGTAGTTGAAGGTAATTTTTGGTTCAAAGCCTTAATTCTGACAAAACAATAACCACTATATTCATAACTTAGTATTTTCACACTCGATATATTATGTAAGATCAATTTACTTATTCCAACAATATATAGACCATTTTTACCAAATGAATACTTCATTAACTGTTTTTAGTTGCAGGAGTATATGTACGTCATGTAAAAAGATGTAGAAACCGAATTCAGCTTATACACAAGTTAGTAGATGCTTAATCAAGTTCTACAGTCACATAGGATATGTTGATGAAAACTTTTCTTTAGTATTAGCAATAAACGAAGAGAAAAGTTGATATATGAAACACCACAAACCCATATAAATAATATAACCACAATACCAATGTTTGAAATAAACCACTGTTACACACTACGAAAGGTTTTTTCTATGAGTCTTCCTTTTGAACAAATTTTCCACTCCTATTTTCACAATAGAAACAGTGATTCCTCCAACTAAATAATTAAAGTACTAAGGTTCTCCTGAAATTGTCGAAAGTTCTGATATAGCTTCAGTGAGCATTTGTACTTATCTCTATGTGATAGGAATTTCAATAAAACTGTGCTCACCAAGGCATAGTACTGCCAAATGTACAGTTTTTAACAAACTAATGATACGACGAAGAAACAAAAGTGTGCCAACCAAATAAACATCCAGTCTAGTTTAAATTATATTCAGGACTATTCTTTGTATTGACATTAAAAACTATTCATCAAGGGGCATTTCATCAATCAGCAATTGTTTTAAAAGCAATTAGGGGATAATGTCAAAGTGTTATCAAAACGTGACTTTAAAAATCGGTAAACAACTTACTAGAGGATGAGCCTGATTGGATTGATTCGTTGTAGCTATGTGAGTTAATACCATCATAGGACCAGAAGGTGTAGCCACAGCTTTTAACTCTGGTTGAAAATGAATTGAAGCCTGCGGTGGTTGAGCATTAGTGCCCTGTTGATGTTGCGCATTTTGCTGAACACCATTAGACGATTGAGAGGCAGCGATTGACTGAGCAAGAGCGGGCATAGCAGCCATAGCGAAAAATTGCTGCTGTTGTTGTTGTAGTGAAATTGCTGACGGGTGCATAGTTGCCATGGAAGCTACACTAACATTTGGCAACATAACGGTTGCTGCTGCTTGCTGTTGCACAAGATGATGGTGGGCAGCTGCAGTCATTGTAGGAAACATCAAACCAGATGCATTAGCAGCAAATATCGGATGACCTGCTTGGGTGACACCCGCAGGTGATATTGTAACTGATAACGGAGTGAAGTTGACTGTTGATGCTGTCACAACAGAGGCTGCAGCAACTGAGACAGGTGTAAACACAGTAGTTCCGCTTGTAACTGAAGTAACTTGATTATTATTCATTAGTGTCTCAGATTCAGGTTCATCAGATTTCCACTTACATCCAATACTTTTGCCATTATGTGACCGATGGATGATGCTATTCGTAGTATTTTCGAAAGATGCCACCAATTTAACCTCGTTATTATTCAACTCAGTACTATCTGATGTGGCTTGGATCTTCGTTTCGGTAAACGTGGTGGAGCTGAACCTTAGTGAACGTGATACACAAATAGAGGAGGGTGGTAAATGTAAGGTTCATCAAGGTGGAAACCAACAGATACAAACACGTATTTACACTACTTCTTCGTAATAAGCTGAACTGTGGAACAAAACATATCAGAATACAACAAAATTGGTAGTCTTCAATGAAAACTAGTGTTGTCTGTTAATTCGGTGCAAAAAACCAGCGATAGTAGTAGATCCCTATCAGCAACAACTCAAGTTCTTTGTTTGGTTGTGGTTAGCAGAAGAACCTAGGACGCGCGTCTCGTCCTACTTGGGACTCATCAGCTGGGTGCACTTGCACCCTAGTGAGCGATGTTGTCCCCACTGAGACTCGAACCTCATACCTATCGCCCCAAACGCCAAGGCGTTATCGACTATGCCACGAAGGAACGATAGCCAATTCTTGTACAACGGGTAGTAGTTATTACTATTTATTGACATACTTGGAATTAACATTCAGGCAATATCGAGGCATTCGCACAGGAGCCCATATGCCAACAAAGGTCGAACAATTCGATCCAATAAAACAACGGAGAATTCCAAGTATGCCAATAAATAGTAACTCAAGTTGTAATTAGAAAGAAGCATCATCTGAACGAAGAACTATTCCAATTGATTTTAAGCACAATGAAGAGCGAGAACGAAGTAGACTGTTTAACAACTTTTACAATAGCGTGAAACTGAAATCGATGCTGAGATGTATTTTATTTTCCACTTAAGAAAACACAGCTTAAATATTATAAAGATAACTACAGAAATAAAGAAATGTAACCTAGCCAGTAAGATAATCAATTTGCGAATAAACCAGGAGTGATTAATTCGATCCAAAAAATGTCAATATCCGACTGCTCTTTTAATTGCTTATACCTGAGTTCAATGACAGATCTGAAGATGTGGCTCCTGAAGACAAGTTTGTAGACTAAGCTTAGGTAGTATATAAGTCAAATTTTCACAATTTTAGCAGACAAAACCTTTTTTTGACTGGGTAGTGAAAATTACTTTCAATTCAAGTAAAATGGTTAGAGAAAGCTACCCTCTAACTAAAATGATACATATAAGGTTACATTTTAAAGGTGAATACTTTCACCTAGCATGTTCAAAATACAACAGAAAATGTATCTCATATTTTACAACTAATTCATATCCCCATTCCTAGCTAAGTTGGTACATACTGCATCTGAACACACCAATATCGGTGTAATAATTTGAGAGCTCATTCTTCTACAGTTGAATATTTCGGGAATGAATTTTGAAAACCAGATCAACAGTACGGCATGGAAGTTCTCAAAAGAGATAAATCGATCACATTGATACGATTACGTTTTACAGCTGCTAATAATAATCTTACCATCTTGCTTCATTTGTTACTGAACTATGCCTCATTTTTCTAAAATAAACTGTACACGATTTGACTACCAGTCGGGTAAGCAATACAGCTGTCTAATTTCTAGTGTTTAGTACTGATAGAAGTTCATCGATCAAGTTTTATAGTGCAGTCAATAACTGAAGTGATGTGACGCTGTAGTATGATTTGATGTGAACTCAGGTGTGAATTGGCAGGAAGCTCTGTGCTAGCAATTCGCATCATCATTACGCAGTTGTGTCAAGTGGTTCCCGTTTGCCAACTTAGTTAGTCTAAACACAATGTGAAGAAACCCAACCTCCTAGCACCCAGTAGACGTATGCCTATAATTAGTGTAAAAATCCCAATGAGATTTGAAGCGGTTCCTGCGTATGATGACAAATGCTTGTAAGGTTCTTAAGATTTTATACTTGCAAACAAAATCCTTTATCACCATCTCAGATGATTCAATGTGCCACGCATGATAAAGAAAAGCCAAAGAAAATCAGAAAACACTTAGCAGTTTTCAATTGTTGGGAAAAAGTGGCAAAAAATTATTGCATTCGCCAGATTAAGATCAGTACTTCTTTTTCACGAATGAAACAAAAGTTATGCTCGTCAACTTCCATTTAATTCGATGTTGAAATATGAATATGGAAAAGCATTTTCATTACAAAACCTTATCAACTTTACGCCTCTAAAGACAGCAATGAAGTAATAACTCAATTAAACTGTACGACATACTGGAAGGAAGCTTCATCATTTTAGTACAATCAAAAAGCATATTGACGGCAAAAAACCAGTTGTTTTAAAGAAGAATCCTTTTAACATTAGATGTTGCTTGCAGCAGGAACACTGAATTTTTGTTTGTTATTAACATTGATACAAATTACAATATGACAACTATAGTATTTAATTTTCTGACTTACAATCATCCGAAGTACACATACTTTAGTGGTAAGCTTGCAATTATCCGACTCAAATTTATGATTAAAGCTGCATATATTCACATAAACATTATATTAGAGAATAACTCACTAAGATTAAAACACTTTCCCGATAATTAGAGAATATGTAGTGCAGAGAGGTCAAGTGTAAAACAGGACGAAATCAAAAAGAGTATGATGAATGCTGCTTTTTAAACAATCTTGCATAATTTCTTCGTAGACACTCACACGTCGACAAGTATGTCAGTGGACAAAAACCTTTGATGAAAATGCTTAAAGGTATCGAAGGGAGAGCAAAAAATTGAGCACTTAAATTTATCCTGTGCGACAGAATAACACTCAATCATGGAAGTCGATTGCAGCCTGAATAGTTCAGTGTTACCATTTCTGGCTGAAACACTGATAAGGGTAGAACCCCACATGGAACATCACTTCCCACGAGTTGCAGATACGCTTCAATGGTGAGTGCCAACATGCACGAAACACTACATTCTGACTGTCTCCAAACAGCTAACGTTTATCAAAGTGCACCGAGATGGTGTCTCCTAGCTTGGTAGCTGCATCGCAAAATGACTGATAGAATTCAGTTAGTACTCAGGGCTAGACAACATCATATTGGTTACCCTCCAATGACCAATCTAATGTAGGTTTTAGCTGTTAAAAACTAGTTGGTGAGATGACATTTAAACTGGGGTAGTAAATGGATTTCCTCTTGTTGCAGATAAATTCCACACAAAAGTGACTTTATTATTATTGTCAACAGTACATCATGCAGCGGATGTTAAATATGAGACACGTATACATGGCAATACAACCTACCTGGTGCTTTCCGTTTAACTGTCATGTTTATACCAACTCCTGGTTCACCCTGATGTACTCCACGGATATGCCTGTTGAGATCGGATTTCTGTACAAACGGTTGCTGACATTGTTGGCATTCGAAATTTCTGGCTGCACGATCGTGGTGCTTTAAGTGATCTTTGAGTTTATCTCTATTAAATGAAATAAATTAGTAGGTGGTGATGATAGAGTAACAAAAAACCCCACACCGAATAAATATTAGGAATATACACATACAAGAAGTTAGTAGTTTTTAGGGAAATAATAACAAGAAATACAATGTAATACATCAAACTAATACATGTTTGTGCACTGGATTCTAAGTCGCACAAAGTGTGATGATTTATGGGATTACCTGGTTGCCTACACGCCGAAGTAGGAGCCAGACTTAGACTTAGTAGTGAGTGTTTTACTTTATAATATTTGAAGTTAACGCCTTAGGTTCCTTAGTGGACATGTGAAAGCTTTCGCTGTCAGATTACCAGTCACACTTTGTACAGCAGACCCGGAAAACACAGACTGAAGAAAGTTGAGACGGGTTTCAGTAAATAACTCCACAATCGATAATCCAGCGCATAGACAACTACAGTTAAAACAACGACAAATAAGAGTACGCTGAAAAGGCATACTTTTGAATAGTAAAAAATTTGCCAGATGTGAATAAAACTTATTAAACCCCTACATCGTTGTATACTACCTTATTAGCCGCAACAGTCGTGTGATGTCAGTCGACATTTCGACTGCATGAACCTCAGTAGATGAAGCTGGATTACAGTCAGTAATCCACTGGTTAAAAGTTGATTGCTTAAGACACAATATCAATGTCAAAGTATGGTTTAGAGAATTAAAACATCAACGAACAAAATCTGTGTAAATCACAAAAATGAATAGGCCAACTTAATTAACTACCCATTCCAATGTTATAGGTAAAAGTTACTTTAAAAAAAGTAAAAATTAAGAGAGTACAGAAATGTTCAATGAACTGGACTGATCATGTATAAGTGCTAAGTATGAATCAGTCCTCTATAAACATGACTTTAAAACAATAAATACAGGTTAAATTTTGAAAGGAATAGATTCCACGATTGCCGAAACATGTAACTTTTTAACAACTTTCATTAATATTCCTTTTTTCGCAGCAGCGGGTAAACATGTTATCACCGCTGGATACTCGATTAATAAATACACTTTTCATAGGTACAATGACAACTGTTTTTTTACTGCGCGTATTAGCTACGTAGATTTATGGAAATAATATTCAGTATAGTGACGGTGAACACGACGGAGAGATCAAATGTTGAATTTTTAACAAGTGCTTCGTCTAACCATACCCTTTTTTACAAGCATAGTATTTCGATGCAACATGTCAACCAAAGTAGCGTAAAATACCGACTAAATGTGTAATAAAAGTCAGTGGAAACATCAACATGTGCTGCGGTAGTGTCTGATGAGATATAGAATATAATCAAGGAAACTATGTACCGAACATGGACTACAGAATACAAATGATTGCACTCATTAGAAGAATACAGGTCGAATTTAAAATTATGAACGAATCGATAAAGAACAACACATGACTAAGGGCTAAACATGAAAAAGAATATTGACAATATTTATGTTGTAGACAATTTTTAGGAACAGCATATGGCTTGCCGATATCAAGCTTAATCATAACAGAACCTGACAAACTTTCGCCAGACTTCAGTAGGGAGGAGATAGCAAACTACTGCGAATCCTAAGCTTTAATTAAAATAGGAGCCGCTTAGGTCTATATGACAGGTCGCCAGTAATGTTCCAGGAAATTAAACATGGTATTCGGTAGTAGCAGCTATGACTCTCTAGGAGTAACAAAACTTGAGAATACACCGAAATTTTGCTTGCTATTTCATAACTTGCACTACCTATAACTCCAGAGATATCACCTGTCAATAAGCGAGCATAATGAGTAGTTTATACTGCTCTATTCAACAGTTAAGAAAAAATCACGGAAGATGAGTAAAATGAGGTAACAGTTTTTAACTATAGATGCATGTGACGTGTTGCAACCATTTGATGCAGTAACAGAATGGGTAGTATAAAACTTAGGCACCGAATTCTAGGGCTATGAAAACATAATCACACATTCTGATTGAAATAAAACTGAAGTTAGGCTAGAAGTTGTTGATTGCATATTAGCTGCTAAAGCAGTATGCTGTTGGTTAGAATTCTATCCAACAAGGATTTTCTGATTTCAATCATAATTTCTGTATGCCCAAATCAACTCGTTATTACAATATTTTTGTAAAAATGATTTATGATGAAAGAATATTCGGATAGCCAACTAACAATGGCAAAATAGTACACTTACTTGCGAGAAAATGCCTTGCTACATATGTGGCAAACATGAGGTTTCTCAGTTGTATGGATGGACATCACATGACGCTTGAGTTTATCCTCTCGAACAAAGCTACGACCACAAGTGTCGCACATGTGTTTTGGTTCTTCATGCATGATCCGGTGTTTCAGAAGCAAAGCCTTTTGTGGAAATACTTTATGACAGGTCAGACATAAAAATTCACCTTTCAAATCACTTTTATTCCAGTTGTTAGGAGTAACACTAAGAAGGCTTCTGGAAAGGTGATCTGAGCCAACTTCACCATCTGAAGATTCATTAACAACCACTGATTGATGAAAACGGTTACTATCCTGATTGTTGCCAGAAGGCAAAGTAAGCAGATGGTCCTAGTTCAAAAAAAGTATTTCAGAACACAAATATATTACTGAATACTAACATTATTTCAAAATAATAATGATACTTTGCCTGATGTTAACCTGCAACACTGTGAGTTATGCTTATTTTATGAGGACTTTGAAAATATGTAGGTACAGGTTTTCCCAACCGATAGCTGCTACTACATGGTGATTGTGCCATACTCAAGTAATGCCACAAAAGCATCTATATCCAAAAGCCTAATAATCTCTTGATATCTACTTTCAACAGCTATCTGACAGCTGCATAGCAGGACAGCAGGATGTAACACAGTATACTCGTTCCTTGATAAGTACTTGTATATCTCGCTGGTGCTACAGATGATGCAAGTTGGCAAATGCTAAATTAACCTTTCGCATTTGAGCTGAGGATCTGCGAAATCAGATAGAATGGAAGTGGACTCTCCAAACTGTCAACTGGAGAGTCAATAATCTACTCCGATATTGTCACCCAGACGACAACCACGAGCACACCGTTTTCGAGTGGCTATCATGATGTCTCCAAGAACATCGAAGGCTCTCATGCAGTGGGAACCAGTCTCCTCCAGGATCATGACAGCAAGATTTAACTCAAAAGGAAGTCACAACCATTCAGTGCTACGCGCCAACAAATAATGCGGATGAAGAGGAGAAGGAATTCTATGGACAACTGTAATCAGTACTACATAAGACCCCACTCCAGTTGGCGACATCAAAATTTTAATGGGCGACATGAATGTCAAACTGGGAACGGACAACGCAGGAAGAGGACTAGCCGTGGGTCGAGAAGCACTCGGTAAAATGAATGAGAATGGAGAACAGTTCGCAGATTTCTGCGCATTCAACGATTTCATGATTGGAGGCAGTGTGTACAAACACAATGACATTCAAAAAGCGACATGGACTTCATCAGATAGACACACTAAAAATTAGATCGTATTCATCTCAATCAAAAGAAAGTAGAAACGCAATCTACTGCACATAAGATCAAGAAGGGGAGCAGATGTAGGTTTACACTATCAAACTATTTAGTGCAAGGAACCTTCAAAATCAAGTTGAAAACTTTCAAAGAAGTTGGTGATAGACCACAGTTCAAGTTCAACACCCAGAAACTGAACTGAAGGACGAAATTACAAAGGACATCTTCACGTCAGCCATCAGAACAAAATGGGAGACGTTGAGCAACGTCCCTGAAGAAACGTGTGTGGAAGAACACTGGAACTCTTTAGGAGATGTGGAAGGAAACCTGCATAACTGTATTAGGAAGGAAGAAGAAAGAAGACAAGGAATGGAATGGATCTCGACGGACATATGGAAGCTGATACAGGACAGGAAGATGGTGAAGTGGAAGGTGAACCAGTGCGGATCAACGCTACGCACCATCATAGAACAGAGTATAGAATGGCAATCAACTCTCTACCTCAACCTTATCGAATTTGAAAAGGCCTTCGACAGCGTCGACCAAGAAGCAATTTGGCAGTTGCTGCTGCTTCAACAATACGGAGTGCCACAAATCTTTATCAACCTCATTCAACAGCTACATGAAAAACGCCACATGCCAAGTGATCCACAACTGAAAGCTCAGTGACGCCTTTAAAGCGAAAACAGGAGTAAGAAAAGGCTGTCTAGTATCACCGATGATCTCCCTGATTGTGGTCGACCGGATTACGAAACAAACAGTGAGGAGCGAGAAGAGGGGCATATGCTGTTTGAACGATGAAAAGAGCCTAGAAGACTTGGATTTCGCCACCGATGATGATTTATGTCTAATGCCTTGTAGCACAAACTCGAAGATCTGCAGACAAAAACCAACAAGTTGACAGAGGAAGCAGCGAAAACGGGACTTCAAGTGAATATAGAGAAGACAGAGGTGATGAAGATACCCAACCAACAATGACAAGCACCAATCACCATTAACGGGAGAAACCTTAAAGGAACAAGTCTTTTTCACTCAACTAGGCAGCATCGTCTCAACTGCAGGCGACACAGATGAGGATGTCAAAACCAGGATCGAAAAAGCAAGACCAACTTTCATTAATCTGAAACCAGTGTGGAGATCTACTGCACTCAACACAAACAACAACATCCGGATTTTCAACACTAATTCAGTCAACTCAGTGCTGCTATATGGTTCAGGAACTTGGCGCGTTACGGAAAGCACTTCAAACAAATTGCAGACATTCATCAACAGCTGCTGCCTAACACTGGCTTCATACTGAAAACCAGATGTCTAAAATAATAAGAATAAGCAACAAAGAACTCTGGGAACGAACCAACCAAGAACCTATCACCCAACAAATATGCAGAGGAAGAAAGAGGAGATGGATTGGATTGGGCATACACTGAGAAGACCACTTGGGGACATCACGTGACAGGCCAGGCTAGGCCAGGCCAGTGCGTCGGGTGGAATCCAAATGGGAAACTACGAGTTGGGGGTCGGAGGCGAGGATGACATGGAGGAGATCATGTGAGGAAGAAATGAAAGCTTGTGGGCAGTCGTGGAGCGAGGTCCAACAGACTGCAGAGAAGAGAGTGAAATAGAGGCGTGCTACTGAAGCCCTATGTTCCACTAGGAACCCAAGGGAAAAATAATAATGATAATGATCTAGGTTGAGGTTTTATCATAAACCAACTCATTCGGCCTTGTCCAACTTAAGGTGAAGATGCTGGCAAGATGCAGAGTCTCCTGAACACTTTGAGTGGCAATTTGAGAATGCTTGCGATGTGTTTCTCACCACCCAAATGCAAATTGTTGCTCCAGGATTGGTCTTCAACGTTGCCCAACCGCGGCTAACAATGGAGAGTGTAGTGGTTGAGTATGTCGACCACTTCACTCACCTGGGAAGTAGGACCAGCCCTTCCCTGGTGGCTCAGTAGTCGATGAAATCTCTGCACGGATACAAAAGGCTCGACTGGCTTTCGCCAACGTACGCCACCTATGATATCCGACTGTCTATTAAGGGTCGCGTGTACTCCACACCAGTCCACTCTGTTCTAATCTATGGCTGTGAAACATGGCCATTGAAGGTGAAAGACATGAGAAAGCTGGCTTCAAGTGTTTGACCACCGCTGCCTTCGTAGTATACGCCGTATTCCGTGGTGCCACCACATGGGTAACGCAGAAGTCAGGTGTAAAGTCTTAGGGAGTAGAGGTAAATCAGTTGACACGGTTGTGAACCTTCATCAATTGAGATGGCTGGCTCCGACACGTATTACGTAGGCCTAGTTGCCGTTTGCCTCGTCACACAATGTTGGCCAGAGTATGTTCAGGCTGGAAAAAGGCCCGAGATGGCCAGACTAAAACATGGCACCAATGCATGAAGTCTTTGACTGTCGGTTTGAGCCATATGGGGCGATGCAGACTAGCCGGTTGGGGTCCGCGGGAGAAGAGAAACCAGTGGTTGCAGACTCTACGCGATCACATGGCTCAGAACCTATGTCAGCGACTTTAGGAAGTATATTTTTGGTGAGATTTCATAAGACTTGAAAGTAAACAAACTCGATTAGTAGTACACGAAATAGTAACCTTCAAAAAAATAAAGTGAATTATTACTATTATTAATGATAGCTTAGCATAAGTTCATTCGTCTCAACAGTCGACTTACAACCCGTAGGTCACAGATTCGACCTGAAAACCGCACGACTCAAACCAACAGTAAGAGACTTCGTCGACTGGTACCACGTCTTTGGCTGGTCACCTTGAATCCTCTTCCGACCCAGCCTCCCCTGGTATGGAATATTGAGGAAGGTGGTGGCTCGAGATGAGCAGTACATGTCCAAGCCATCTCAGTCGACTGAGGTTTATAACCTCATTTAATCAACTTGTTTTACTTGGTACCTTCATATAACATCAACACTGATCATATGGTGATTCCACTAAATTCAGTCAATGCTACGAAGACATCTGTGATTAAAACCATATAATCACTTCATTTCTTCTACTTTTAAGGACCATGTCTTAAGACAAAACTGCAGCCAGCATACTCTTTAATAAGAAGTCGAATACCTTAATAGTCGGCACCAGAGATGATGCAAGTTGGCAAATACCTAACGGACCTTCAGTATTTGAGCTGAGATCTTATCAGCAACCAGACCGTTCTGCAAGAAAGTGAAGTGGTCGATGCATCCTACTTCACTCCCAATCATTAAACTGGGGGTAATTCGAGATCAGTCCTGGAGTATCATCTTAAATTGGTTCTCAGCAAGGTTTGAGTTGCCCAACATCCAACCTGAACCTGAATCGGATGTAAATGTCGGTCCTCCAACCCTCCATGAAGTTGAAGAAGTTGTATCGAACCTGAAACGATGCAAATCAGCTAGGTCTAACAGTTTGCCACCTGAAGTTTACAAGCATGAAGGTAGGAAATTTCTAATTAAAGTGACGGATGCACTGCGTAGTGTATAGTAATCTGAGGTAGTTTGACTAATATTATGTCAAAGATCCTAGGGTCCGTAGTTATCCAACGCCTAAATGGAGCGCGAGGACAGTAAGCTCAAGAGAACCAGAGAGGTTTTAAATCTGGACGGGAGGCAATCAAGCAGATTTCCACCATTGATGAGTTCTGGAACACAGGCACATCTACCGCCGGCCGAGACTTGTCATTTTTCTCGACCGCGACGTGTTGTAGTGTATGGCTATGAACGGAGTACCGAGTAAACATATAACGCCAATCAAAGGTCTCTACTCGAACGCATGCAGCCGTGTAAGAGCCTATGGAGATTCGTCATGTGAACTGACGATAACTAGTGGCATCCACTAGGGATACTCACTATCACCGTTCCCACTTAACTTCGTTATAGACGTACTAATAGACATAACCTTAGGTACGTCTGACTTCACAGGGATTAACCTACTGTCTGAAGGTTATCTATTTGACTTGAGGTATGCAGAAGATATTGTTCTGCTGGGTGAAGATGCTGACAAGATGCAGTTTTCTGAACGTACTGATCAGAAATCTGAGTATGTTTGGCATGCGTTTCGCACCTGTTACATCTATGATAATGCTCCGGGACTAGTCTGCTGCAAAGTACTCCCAGTTTAATGGTCAGAAGTGAAATGGTGGAATGTGTCGACCACTTCACTTACTTGGGGAGTAGCATCACCTCGGACGGTCTGGTTGCTGGTGAAATCTCAGCTCGAATACAGACCAGTTTGGTACTTCCTAAATTGGGTCATCTGTGGCGCCGACTGGCGAGATATCCAACTATCTATCAAAGGAAGAGTATACTGCGATGCTGAAGTCCATCTCGTCTATTTATATGGCTCGGAAACACGTTTAAAATTGTGAAGTGGTTGGTGCTGTGATCACAGATGTCCTCGTAACATCGCTTGTGTTTAGTGGAATTACCGTGGGAACAATATTGAGGGCGAAGAGTACTAGACCAGAAAGGCAAGTTGGTTGATCAAGTTGTTAACCTCAGTCCACCGAGATGGCCTGGATAAGTACTGTGCATGCCGAGCCACCACCTACTTTGACGTGCCTTGTTAGAAGCTGGATCACGTTGGAGAAAGGTTCAGCGTGGCTAGACCAAGAGGTAGCACTAGTCCATCAAGTGTCTGACTGTTGGTCTGAGTAGTGTGGAGAGATGTATACTGCCACCTAGGGTCACCGAGAGGATATGAAGATGGGTGAGAACTTTTGGTGAAACGGCTGAATATCGATCACAATGACGCGTAAGTATTCACTTCCTTGACATCTTCTAAAGCTTGGGTGTTCGCACTAACCATTATCTTCAGATTGTTTATTTTCTGTCACAACTTTGTCTACTCTGATATCACTTTTTCTATCGACCTGTCTCTTGTATACTACTGTGAAGTGTGGCAAAGTGAGCCGATGCACATGTGTGCGAGGTATTACGTTTATTTTCCCAGTCAGTATTGGTCTACCAGTAAGTTAGACATAAACGAACCTCTAGTAGCGAGTGATCAGAGTCCAAACTGGTGCTCCGGCAAAAAAGGCAGTCCTACACCGATCCTCTTCAACGATGTACGTGTCCATTGCTGGTTGGATATCAGTGTCTTTCGTTATGCTCAAAGTTAATTCTGGCCAATTACAGGTCATTGTTGGAACAAAATCGCAACAGACATCACCACTGTCAGTCTGTTGGCTTGGGATTCCATAAATACTTCCAAGAAGCTTTCGCAATTGGCTCAGCTTTCTTACTTGACCGAAAAAGTCATCCGACACTAACTAGGAACAGTTTGCTTTCCATAGCAAAATTGACAACTTCATACAAATTTGCGTAACCCGAACTAAAGTTGGTTGGTGCGAAAACGGAGATTACAAAAAGGCTTCGATTAGTCTAATGATTCTTCCTATTTCTTAGAGATCTGTTAAGTACAACAGCAAAGAGAGGGATGTTGACGAGTATCCAATCAAGAAGTGAACTTTCAGACTCACAGCTCAATCTTAAACCAGCCGCAGCAAGTTCTTGACAGTCAGCAAAAGAACCTCTGAACATTCGGAAAGTGAACTTTGAAGATTCAAAAACGTGACCCGTAGAGATCAAGTTAACAACACTCAAGTCATGTGCACTTGTCTCAGGAGCACAATATACATTCGATGTTCGAAACCGTGGGCGTGGGGTAGGAGAAACTGTGCAGTTTGGTGTAAGTCTAAGGAATTCGAGAACCCAACATGGAAACAAAAGTAGCAACCATGCGAGACTACCAAAGCTGTTTTCCCTGTTTACCAGTCGTACCGTGAGAGTTCGAGGATATTATAAAAAGTTTACTATGGTTATCAAGAAGTAAAACCACTGGAGAAGAAAAAAGTTTGGGAGGATAAGTTGTGTTTTACTGGGTTTTGTATATTACTAGAAGCGTGTGTGAGATTAACACTTCCCAGATGCCCAAACCACGGAAGACAAGTTCTCCTTTAGATACCTGAAAAAGTAAGGTTAGTGAGTGATCACAAAGCTTAAGTGATATCTACTTGAAACCGGTCATGCACAGTTCTTTAGGAAATCTGAGCTTTCAGTTTGCTTTCATATCACCGGTATCGGTCTCATGAGGCAGGGGGTGCCCTTTTTAATGTTAACACTTTATAACCTCACCTCTCATAAGGAAGGGAGGACTAGGATGGACTGACAGTCATCCGCGGGAAGCATCTTACTGCTGTCACATCCCTGCTCGCCTTCAGACTCCCACCATAGAGTAGCTATCTACACTGACAGTAAACCCTTTTTGTTTTACCACTATCCAATAGACCTTTCTGGTATGTCAGGACCTCAAGGGGAAAATGTTCTTATCAACATAGCTCGTTGGGCCACTGTGATATGCAACCAGACCACTAAGTCAAGTTAGCAGCTATCGGTCGAACAAACGGGTCGAAAGTGGAGTCCTTATCAAACCTGAGGATCCAGATATTTCCCTAGCTGTTTTAATTTACTTATGACTACCCATATTTCAGAGGACATTTGCAAATTGGACTAATCAGTGATCAAAACTATTGCAACAAGAATACATCGAATCCTAATAACTTATATAAAACTCTTATCTTAATACGAATAAACCGTAAAGCGAAAATATATCACCATTTAATGAGTCCAACAATTACGTACAAAAGTGTTCGTGGCAGTGTATGCGCACTATTAGTAGCACATAGCTACCCAAAAGTCGGTTTGTAGAGTGTGGTTTGAAGCTGTGACTTGGTGGTTGAATGTTGCACGATCACGACAAGAAACAATTTAATGGCAAAAACAGAGCCTTATACAGCTTCGCCACTTTCTTTTTGCTGAAAAACAAACAGCTGAACTGTCTTCATAGGTCAGCACAAATACCTTTCCATATACTAAACCCACAACAACCTAATGAGTACGATGGGGGCGGAGGGGGCAGGAGGATTATTCTAAATTAATATTGTTTGCACTGACGAACTAGTTTCCAAGCAAAAAACAAAGTCAATATGGAAGCCCTCTAAATGGGAAAGCCAGGAGGAAGAAATCCTGATACGTCATTTGTACTACAACAAACCAGTTAACCAGTATTATCACCGGCATATACTGGGTAAATACAAACCCAGAAGCATAGAAATCTATGATCTAAACAGTCGGAGTAACTTTGCTGAAACATCGCTTATATGCTTAGTTTACCAAGTTATTACAACGAACAAAAATGAAAACCAACGTAGATAGGATGATGTCGCGACCCCTAAATTTAATGGTTAGCTTGCATAACTTTCGTTGTGTTTCTAAACAATAGCATAGTCACCAACCTAAAATAGATTAGAACCCTACATACCAAAAGATATATGCTAGAATTTTAGGCCTCACATGAAGCGATGAGCTTAATATCAACGCTTCATATTTCCAATTTTGACCAACTCTCGTCGTATGATTCTACTACAGTTTGAGCCTCATAATACAAGGGTGACCTACACAGTAGCATACGGAACCTATTTAAGTAGTTTACATGTTAAATCTAGTCATTGACAATTAAGTTCGTTCCAGGACTGAGAATAGAACACGGAAATATAACGGCTTAAGTGCCAAGAATCAGCATGAGATGAGTGTTATAGAAACTATAGCTAGCTATGTATAATAGTTGTGCTGTTTTGAGCAGCAAACTAATCAATTTACCTAGTGGCTCTTAAAAATTGTCACCCTATATGTTTTCGAAGAAAAGCTGAATTTACATGAAGCATCGTTTCTTCTCGCGACAATGAATCTCGTTCGTGTATACTACAGTAAAACAACTGTGATTAAAACAATAAATTAACTAACCGAATTTGTGTTAGTTGTAACAAAGTTTGTAGTATTGGAAACGTTCGTTTGTGAATTGTTTAATTCACCATGAGCCGGAGCTAAGCTCAAATTGTATAAGCGATCTGTTCCTGTTCCTTCTAAAGCTGGATCAAGAGTCAGAGATGGGTCGGGTTTACGATTCCCAGCCAAAGCATAAACTACATCGTCAACAGCTGCAACAGCTGCAGCTGCATACTCCGCATCATTGTAAACTTCATCGTCTTTACATGAGGAATGGACAGAAGAATGGTCATTAGGTTCACCTGAATCTTCTTCTAAGATGTCATCAGGATGTTGTGCTTTGAAAAGTACTTCTTGATCCTCGTCACTCAAATTAGCATGGGTTACATCCTTGATCGGTGATTTAGGAATCCCAGAAGTATCGATCACTGGCAGACTTTCAGTTTCCCATAATTCTCCAGTAGCAACCGTTTGAACAGGAGGAGAATCAGATGTTGTTTTACATTCGCTACCATTATTGTGTGATTCAGATGCATTCATCAAACATGTTGAAATAAGACAATCGTTATCTCGATTCTCGACTTTACATTTGAAATTGTCTGCACTTTCACTGGATGTCATAACAGATGCATGCTTTTTGTTTGAAGACAGGGTTATTGTTGGTTGATCGCCATTTGATGGCTCATGGGGTAATATCACAGAGTTGGTAGTTCCATTTCCTTCGGAGATATCTGCGTAAATTTCAGGGAAATCAGGTTCAGCAGAACAAACGACAGATATTTTGGGAGAAGTCGGAGTGCTGCTGCTTACCGAATGAATTTTATCTGGATGAGGAATACAACCGAGATCTATATTAACCACTGTTTCTACATGAAAATCATCAGATGTTTTCAAGAAATATTCATCGTCAACAGCCGGTAACGACGCTGAGTGCGATGAAATAACTTGTTCAAGATCCATCAAATTCTCATCAGTAGCTTTAGACACAGAATCAAGACTGCTATCTAAAAGTTTACACGTTTTAACTTGAATATCTGTGTCACAAGGAGCAGTATTTTTCCAGTTATGAGGGACATTATCTGACATATTATTCATGCTCATTGATGTGCAGGCGTTAAAGTCTGTTGATACATTTCCTGGGCTTAAAACTATTGACGCATTATGCTCACTGACTGGCAAACACGGAGGTCCAGACACGCGACTAGATGAATTACATCCCGATAACAATTGTGGAGGACTTAGTGATTCACAGGGTGAATGAATTGTATTCTCTAAAATTAAAAGGTTTGTATCGAAAACCTGATTATTTTTATTTTTACAGTTTGTATAACTGTCCATATGTGAAGGGGGTGTATCTGGAGAATGTAAATGAGAAAGTGATGGGAACGAAGCATTTGTACGTTGATTTTCGATAGGATGAGATTTACAGGATAAACTATGATGAAGCATTGCTGAAACATGTCTGCTGTCTAAATGAGGGGTCCGAATAGGAGAATGAGATCGGAATGTCAGAGGTGAACTGCATGGAGTGGGAACGCTTGAAGATAGCACATAACTGGCAGGCATAGACTGTGTAGTAGATGTTTGAAGTAAAATTGTAAGTGGATCGCCATTGTTTACATAAGGTGTTCCTGTCAAGTTGTGACGCGAAACTAACATTGGAACACTGTTTGTAGAGTGAATAGCCTGAGTTTGATCAATTACACCCACTGACATTGGTCTGCAGGTGATAGTATCCATAAGTCGACCACCTCTAGAATCTGGAGGAGTGTTAAGTCCGGAGGATGAACGAACTGTTGCCGAGCCTTGTTGGACTCTACTGTCTGCAGCAGCGACAGCTGCTGCTGCTGCCAGGAGAGATCGGACATCTTCGTCATCATCAGCTAAGGGTGACACGTCGGGGGAATGCTTTATACACAAACCAAGATCATCCGTGAACCGTAACAAACGGTGATCTGAAGAATTTCCGGGCGCTATATTCGTCAAGGAGAGAGATGGAGCAAGGTCACTCAAGACATCCGATGCGTGGTCCGAACAGTCGATTCCCAAAGACGTTGGGTGTGAATATTTTGAAGAAGCAGACTGGACAGATCCGATATTGACATCGATGTGAATGGTACTTGGAACACCACTTTCGGTGACAGAAATAGAGGTAGGTACCTACATAAAAAATCATAAAAATATTACAACAGAGAATAAGAAGCTCATTAATTTTAGGTATTTCAAAATCTCTAACGAAGGCACCACATTCAAAAAGTACACATACATCGCCTCCACTCTCCGTATATTAGAGGAACTGGAAAAATAATGTATCAAGCCTCAAAAAATTGTGGACTCGGAACTTGGCCGTTGGTATCCTTACTCCGGTCAAGCATATTTTCATAAGTTTTCTATCGTATTTCAGATTATATATATATATATATATATATATATATATATATATATATATATATATATATGACCTATCGAAGGCTTTAAACACTAACCCCCATCATCCATCAACTTAAAATTCATAAAGAAATGGTCCAAGATGTTACGTTTGGAAACAGAGGTAAAAAGTAAATCACCGTATCAAAACTGACGCGTAAAACAGATGTAACATCTGACAGAGCTTGACGAACCGTGTTCTGTACTATCCTCTTAAATGTGCAGAAATAGACAAGTTCGGTGTGAAATATGATTTGAAATTTTTGGGGACAGAATACTAGTTAAAAATTCACCTAAAGTTCCTACAGTTGACTTACAGATGCGGAACGGATGTTGGAATAAAAATTTTATGAAAAACATTTATAATACTTAGGCTTTTCGGTCGAGTTTTATACTGCTAGTTAAAAGTGGGAGTAAGGTGTTGTTACAATTTAAGCTTTAAAAACACTAACCATTTAATATGCAATTCGATGCCTCGAATACAATATTTAATCAACTTCAGTGTCAGACGTCTAGAGTCAGTCGGTAGGATGCTCTAAAACTAAATTTCGAGCTTGCTGGTACTCTTTAGCAAAGCATACCTGCAACTGTTTCTTTCCTTGTTGATTCAGGTCCGTATCAATCAGCAGTGAAGACGTAGAATTGGACACAAAGCGACACAGGCCCAAAGCTGACAGCTGAAGGACTGGATTATGCACAAGAATATGCTAGAGACAAATAGAAATACCAACAAAAAATCTCGCAAATGCACCAGTTCAGGTTACCTGAGCAGCCAAAAAAGCCGAACCAAAAACGTGATATTAAGGTAGAGAAAATCGCATACGAGTTGAGAGAACAGATACAGGAAAAAGAAATTACTCAAGATTTCAAAAATGACAAAGAGTAAACATATGTGCTCCACTGTAGTCGATTTTCAGCCAAGTTACCAAGAGCCTCCAAACGCTGATTTCTTTCACCTCGAATACTTTAACAAGTTGGTTTTCAACCAGTTGGTCACGGGTCCGACCTCCGCTCCACCTAACTAGATTTAGACAGTCAGGTAATATCACTAGCCCCCACCCACACACAATAAGTGGCTCATAACCTACTGCACCCATGTGCACAAAACGGTTGCGTTAATTTTTAAAACCATTATTGAATAAGGATGCTGAGATATACTAAAAGCATAATATGCTAGCTTAATTGGATAAATTGTTTGATGGATAAATTTATAAACTGCAAACACATCTGTCGCTTCTCAGAAGCGACTTTAAGTGAACAAGAATTGCCATTGAGGCCAAAAAACAGGCTTCGACCAATCATATCATTGAAAATTCCCACTACAATTCAAAAGTCATTTGAATGAACAAAGAATATTCCTTCCCATTACTTCTATGTGCACATAGCTGGGAATTACGCATCAGTAGTATATGAATTCCACTTATCATTTTGTGAATAATATTATACGGTTGAGAAAGTCAATTGAGAAAAGCCGTTTGTGGACGTTTATGACGCAACCAATTGCTACTAGGATTCAGTTAAAAATAATTGACTATCTAAATGATTATACGGCTTATGTAATAATATAAGGTGAGAGTTTAGTAAGACAGTGGGAAGGTGGTTAATCAGAGCTGGGTGAAATAAACTAAGAAGGACAAAATAGGTTAAGAGAGTTTGTCAAAATTATTTCAGGTTATAGGAAAGAAGGGGTACCTACAGTATGGAATTATATTATCTGAGACAGGATGCTAACGAATTTGTGCATCCCGAAACGGGCTACTGTAGTTGCAAAGGTATCACTTACTTCTGAACACAACTCGGAGTGTTTGATCCTGGTTACTACTGTATCTGCAGTTTGAAGAATTCTAAACCGAGTACCTTTTGGCAAGTTGATGGGAACGCGATACAGAATGGGAAATGACTCATTCATATCCACCTTATGGTTCGTTTCAACTAAGTGCGCTAATATGAAGCTGGTAATGGTCTTTACCACACTTTTACTTAACCACCCTGAGTGTTCGTGAGCACGGAAAATTAGATTCATAGAGCAGCAGGCAACATAACTTGCTCCACAAGAGTTATCGAACTGATAAAGGAACAGGGAGAATTCTTTATAAATGTGATTACATAAGCTAGATGAATGAAATACTGAATGATAAGAGGAAATTTCAGAAATTGAATGCTCAAAAAGACCTGGATGATAAATAGAAAGAGAATTAACTAAGTTCCCGAGGAAACTGTTAGAACAACATATAATATCACCACTTAGCGTGTACGATCCATTGAAACCCACGGGGACTCACGTAAGAAGACTGTGTGGTCTACCTAGGATACACAGACCAAGAGTGCCGTTAAGGCTAATTCTAGATATGAAAAATTCTTTAGCGAAATGGCTGGTTACTATTCTCCAACCTTTACGCAAACAGCTAGTTAAACGTAGTGTGAAAGACGAATTCGAATTTATGGAGAGAATTAGGGAGGCTAACATCACAAATAAAACTATAATGTCACTGAATGCAATATCTCTATTCACCAATGTTTCTCTTTTTGAGATAGTCAACTATACAGGTGAACGGTTGAAAGAAAAGTCTATCAATGTTGGAATCCCAATAGATGTCCTCAGAAAATTATTGCTAAAACTTAGGATGAATATTAATTTTAAATCTAACGGTGAACTATACAGTCAAGTGGGTGGGACCGCAATGGGCTCGCCAATGGGTCATATATCAGAGGACCTATTTCGATCGATCAGAGAATTTTCATTCTACTGTTGATATACAGATGATACATTCATTCTATGCGAAATCAACATAGAGAGGTCAAAGGTACTCAGCAGATTCAACGCTGCTCTATGAATCTAATTTTCCGTGCTCACGAACACTCAGGGTGGTTAAGTAAAAGTGTGGTAAAGACCATTACCAGCTTCATATTAGCGCACTTAGTTGAAACGAACCATAAGGTGGATATGAATGAGTCATTTCCCATTCTGTATCGCGTTCCCATCAACTTGCCAAAAGGTACTCGGTTTAGAATTCTTCAAACTGCAGATACAGTAGTAACCAGGATCAAACACTCCGAGTTGTGTTCAGAAGTAAGTGATACCTTTGCAACTACAGTAGCCCGTTTCGGGATGCACAAATTCGTTAGCATCCTGTCTCAGATAATATAATTCCATACTGTAGGTACCCCTTCTTTCCTATAACCTGAAATAATTTTGACAAACTCTCTTAACCTATTTTGTCCTTCTTAGTTTATTTCACCCAGCTCTGATTAACCACCTTCCCACTGTCTTACTAAACTCTCACCTTATATTATTACATAAGCCGTATAATCATTTAGATAGTCAATTATTTTTAACTGAATCCTAGTAGCAATTGGTTGCGTCATAAACGTCCACAAACGGCTTTTCTCAATTGACTTTCTCAACCGTATAATATTATTCACAAAATGATAAGTGGAATTCATATACTGCTGATGCGTAATTCCCAGCTATGTGCACATAGAAGTAATGGGAAGGAATAATTTTTCATCACTCAAATGACTTTCGACGATTTAGTCAGGCAGCTGGCCTTGACGTCCTTTTATGTTGAAAGGACACGAAAGCACTGGAGAAGAAAAAAGTTTGGGAGGATAAGTTGTGTTTTACTGGGTTTTGTATATTACTAGAAGCGTGTGTGAGATTAACACTTCCCAGATGCCCAAACCACGGAAGACAAGTTCTCCTTTAGATACCTGAAAAAGTAAGGTTAGTGAGTGATCACAAAGCTTAAGTGATATCTACTTGAAACCGGTCATGCACAGTTCTTTAGGAAATCTGAGCTTTCAGTTTGCTTTCATATCACCGGTATCGGTCTCATGAGGCAGGGGGTGCCCTTTTTAATGTTAACACTTTATAACCTCACCTCTCATAAGGAAGGGAGGACTAGGATGGACTGACAGTCATCCGCGGGAAGCATCTTACTGCTGTCACATCCCTGCTCGCCTTCAGACTCCCACCATAGAGTAGCTATCTACACTGACAGTAAACCCTTTTTGTTTTACCACTATCCAATAGACCTTTCTGGTATGTCAGGACCTCAAGGGGAAAATGTTCTTATCAACATAGCTCGTTGGGCCACTGTGATATGCAACCAGACCACTAAGTCAAGTTAGCAGCTATCGGTCGAACAAACGGGTCGAAAGTGGAGTCCTTATCAAACCTGAGGATCCAGATATTTCCCTAGCTGTTTTAATTTACTTATGACTACCCATATTTCAGAGGACATTTGCAAATTGGACTAATCAGTGATCAAAACTATTGCAACAAGAATACATCGAATCCTAATAACTTATATAAAACTCTTATCTTAATACGAATAAACCGTAAAGCGAAAATATATCACCATTTAATGAGTCCAACAATTACGTACAAAAGTGTTCGTGGCAGTGTATGCGCACTATTAGTAGCACATAGCTACCCAAAAGTCGGTTTGTAGAGTGTGGTTTGAAGCTGTGACTTGGTGGTTGAATGTTGCACGATCACGACAAGAAACAATTTAATGGCAAAAACAGAGCCTTATACAGCTTCGCCACTTTCTTTTTGCTGAAAAACAAACAGCTGAACTGTCTTCATAGGTCAGCACAAATACCTTTCCATATACTAAACCCACAACAACCTAATGAGTACGATGGGGGCGGAGGGGGCAGGAGATTATTCTAAATTAATATTGTTTGCACTGACGAACTAGTTTCCAAGCAAAAAACAAAGTCAATATGGAAGCCCTCTAAATGGGAAAGCCAGGAGGAAGAAATCCTGATACGTCATTTGTACTACAACAAACCAGTTAACCAGTATTATCACCGGCATATACTGGGTAAATACAAACCCAGAAGCATAGAAATCTATGATCTAAACAGTCGGAGTAACTTTGCTGAAACATCGCTTATATGCTTAGTTTACCAAGTTATTACAACGAACAAAAATGAAAACCAACGTAGATAGGATGATGTCGCGACCCCTAAATTTAATGGTTAGCTTGCATAACTTTCGTTGTGTTTCTAAACAATAGCATAGTCACCAACCTAAAATAGATTAGAACCCTACATACCAAAAGATATATGCTAGAATTTTAGGCCTCACATGAAGCGATGAGCTTAATATCAACGCTTCATATTTCCAATTTTGACCAACTCTCGTCGTATGATTCTACTACAGTTTGAGCCTCATAATACAAGGGTGACCTACACAGTAGCATACGGAACCTATTTAAGTAGTTTACATGTTAAATCTAGTCATTGACAATTAAGTTCGTTCCAGGACTGAGAATAGAACACGGAAATATAACGGCTTAAGTGCCAAGAATCAGCATGAGATGAGTGTTATAGAAAAGAGTAGTTTTGCATTGCGTATCTGCCGGCTGCCGATATTTGGCATAATTGGCTACCACGAGTTGTGATGGTGTATAACTGTGAAGGGAATACTACGGAACTATATTACACTAGTTGAAACTTTCTTGTCGAACTCATGCAGCTGTGTAAGGGTCTAGGGAGAGCTATGTGAATTGCTGATAACTAGTGATGTCCGCCAGGCATGCCCACTGTCACGGTTCCTATTTAACTTCGTTATGGACGTACTAGTAGGTATAACTTTAAGAACGTCTGCCTTTACAGGGATAGATATGTTGTATGGATTTGGAGTCAACGTTTTGAAGTACTATTGCGTGACCTACTTCTAATGTATATAGGTGCATACTTGAGAAATCCCGGTCAGAATACTCATGTCACATTATCCGCGGATTGTGTTATCTGATATGAGCATTTTGTCCATGATTTTGTCCGCTTCTGAAAACGGAGATCAACAAAGTTCTTAAGAAATAGCAGGTGATGTTGTACAATCACTTTCAAAGAGTATGTAACCTAGGGTCCCCTGGAATATAGTAGACTACGAGGTGGCTTGATAATGGCTCACAACATCCTCTGGACACCCATTCCGCCACTCAATGAATCTTAGTTGTAGTATTTATCTCAGAGGACACATGTAGAAACTAAGCCTAGAAAATAACATGTCAGTTATCAGACAACTTGTATTCCCCAAAAGTTGTTAAACCCTGCGATACTCTTCTTGCATAAATGGTCGAGGCTACTTCGTCCGAATCCTTTAATCGCCTTGAAATGTGGTTGGGATCTGCTCAGAACTAACTGAGTTTTCACATCTTAACCGCCACTTTTTGCTCTCTCCTTACTTGTACACAGGTTAACAACTATAAGAAGTAGTGAACCACGGAATACAGATGCGGAAACCAGTTAGACAAAAGCTTCTATTACGTCAACAATTATTTGAACTTGTTGCTGAAGGTTTGCAAAATCAACGAATTTCATCAACGTCATCTGAACTGATCAATGAGAGAATTCATTGCAGCTGACTGGTTGCTGGTAGTAGGCAAGGCAGGCAAGTCGATTGATGAGGTTGAGCCTTCAGCGACTGAGGTGGTATAGACATGTGTTCCCCATGTCAAGGCACTAGTTACTTTGACGTGTGATACGAGAAGTTGTACGTGTTAGAGGGCTCAGGGTGGCTGTACCAAGACGTGTCACCAGTTGATGAAGTCGCTAACTGTTGGTCCAAGTTGTGTGCGGAGATCTAGACAAGGCTGGGTTCCCCGAGATGATAGCAATAAGTGGTTGAAGACTCTCGATTATACGGCTTAAAATCGGTAGCAGTGCTGTGGGTGTATTCACTCATTGATATCTAAAGCTTGAATACTTGCACTAACCATTATCTTAAGATAGTTTATCTTCTGTCATAACGGTGTCTACCTTGATATCACTTTTTCTGTCAACCTGTTTTTTGTATAGTGTGAAGTGTGGCAACTTGAGCGGATGCACTTGTTTGCGAGCTTCTGGGTAGATTTTGTCCGCCTGTCTGACCAGAAAATAAGTCACTAGTAAACAGTAGGGTATCTAACGGAGTGCTAAGGCCAACTTTAGCCACTCACAAACGAGGTAGTATCACCGCACAGTTCAATTCCTAACCTCTTTGTCTCCTCAGGAACACGAGAACAGTGACTTGATGCCCTATGTATCATCGTTTTTAAAGTCCATATGGGCATACTCCATTCACCTGTTGAAAAGTAAAGAATCAGAGGCCTCGTTCAGAATCCACGCTTAACGATTGTTCCAAGTTAGAAGGACAAGTTGGCCGGCGGAATTCAATAACCCAAGCTTTGAGATTATATGTACATATACCCTACGTACAAGTAACATTTGGAAACTATGAATGCGCATAACATCAATGTAATTTGAACAAACGGACTGACAAACAAACATATATAAAGCATAGCTGCACTTACCGAAAAAACCGTCTCCATTTACCATCAGTCCTCAGCTGAACTGCAACATGCCAAACAATACATATCCAAAAGTAATCTATGTACTAAGAATGAAATAAAAGAGTTGACGTTGTTGAGAATATTCCGACTTTTGGAGTTTTATAGTGTGATAATCCGGGCCCAAAAGGGCAGTAAGCTTTTGATCGCGACCTACTGAAGACAAAAGGAATAAGTCTTTTGTAACAGTAAAGAGTATTTGACCACATGAATGAAGTAAGACGGAGATGTCAATCCCCGAGTTAAATGACCAATCCGAATATTTCAAACAAATTCAATTTTCAAGTATGCAACACTTGGAATGAAGGACAGTGAGACTCGTATCATTTCTTAGGATGTATCTTTCAGGGTCTTCAACTTCATTCTGAGTATACTGACACAGAAAGTTTAGGTATTTTTTGCTAAAACATTTTTTGGTGACCTTGAAACGGTTTAAACAGCAGAACCTCGACTGTCCCTGGAACAACTGCTGGGATAAATATCGTTTACTGTCTCCTGGCTGCAAAAATAGACAAACAACATGCAATAACTGTTAAACATTAGGGACAGAGCTTCTTTATCAGTAACAGGTAGCTGGATAAATGAAAGATACCTATTTATACATATTTACATACATATTTGTCTGAAGCGGTCTCCGATTTGCATTTTCTGTCCTACATACAGAAATTTCCAGGTTGGTGATAGATACACAGGATGAATGTCTTTATGATCAACTGAGTTCACCCGTTTCTACTTTTGAAACTGAGAGCTAGTCAAAGAATAATCTTGTCGACATCGCGCACGATGTCAGTGCCTTGGCACCAAAAAGAGAAGCATCCCGACTTCTCAGCATTTCAGTGTCATTAAAATGCTACGGAAAGGAAATGGAATATTCACTCCTAACCCCTATAAGGGATCTAGCGTAGTCATTGTGAATGTGCAGGATTATAAAGACAAAATGTCATCCAGTACCAAAGATGGGAGGGAATTCACGGACGACTGTCTCACAGACGACATTAAAAATTTAGAAGGGCAACCCGAGCTTAGTTCACTCCTTGGCATGAATGTTATCAGTAGGGAGGAATTTCGTTGGTAAAATCGGCAAGGTGCGAACCTACAGACCTATGTGGTTCGATGTGTATACTAAAGCCAAACATCCCAAGTCGTTCAGTGCTTTCGATGTGTCGCTCCCAAGCGCAGAAATTGGCAAAGTGGCAAGCGAAAATACCAGGCACAGTTGGAAATCAGGTATGTAGGTTTTTGATAGAGATGCTTTTGAGCTTGTTGACCACACGGATGACATAAATGTCGGAGACTAAAACGATGAAATGTTTTGGTGTAAACCCCATTACTGGCCCAGACTGGTGACATTCCACATAATAATAGATCCCTGAATAATCCTCCGCCACCCAAACCTCCAAAATGTTTGATAACCATTTCTACTACACGTCCATAGGGTTGGCTTTCGAAAGTGAACATTTTCGACAACTTGATAGTGTCGATATGAGCATTCCTCGAAGCCTTCAGGAATTATCCTTGTGCGAAACTGACAAACGCAGAATCCAATCACTAATTGCTCATGCTTGCAACATGCCCAACAGTGCGGGACCAAGGAAGAACACAGTAGCGTAGTCAGATAGGAGTAGTGTATCAGAGAGGTCTTGCCAAAATACTAATGCGTTCCGGCTAGCTGACTGGAGGATCGATTACGAGAGGTATAAAGTAACACTACAGTGTGCCTAGTGGCACAGTTGCCCGATCGTGTAACTTCAGATAAGCGAGTTCAGCAAAACGATGAAGCTCGGCATCAACGTTGAACCTCGCCGAACCCTAGTCCATTGATTTCGGGGGATCATGTGCCGCTACGTAACCACTCATTCCTGGCGCATCCATGACGACCCGAAGACGATACCTGTTGCAAGAGAAATATCAGTAGTTTCAGCATCAGAAAACTCCCCGGATGGCCACGCAGAAAGGAGTGACCCTTAGTTTCTGTAATGAGACCAAAATGTTTTACTAAAACGGAAACTTTAACACTCCGCGTGTTTAAAGTATATCGAAAACAAAAATAGATTAATCAATATTTTGTTCTCAGATTAAGAGTTTAACGCGAGAGAAGCCAGCTCACTGGCATCATCAAATTGATAATGGTGGAGAAATATGCATTAGTTGAGCTATGCCGAATGATCCAGAAGGCATCGCATCAAGGTTTAGCATGATGTCAGTGGTGACTGACAGAGAAATATCGCCTCATAGCACATGCAGATTGTTTATGAGTTTCGGTCGTTTCCACTGAATATTCTTTTTTCACAATAAAGTGGTACTCAGGTACAATGTGGTGCTGAATTCTTCTACCACTTTCTTGAAGTTTATGGCCGTGTGGTGGCAAAAATTGATGCTATGTGGTTTAAACGTATGAAATTTTTCGTATTCCCACAAAAACGGTGCCTCGAAAAAAGTTCGAAAGTTAAAAAGTATATGCACATTTTCACCCACACTACTCGGTTGAATATGTCTTTAGATAATCTGATGGTTCTGCCCGATCGTGTTTTCTTTGAGCAGGTGATCGTTGTACTTGTGTATCATCAGGCACACCAACGAGAATTTTGGTCACTGGCCTATCTGTTGGTTGGCTATAATGAGCAGAAGCGCCACTTGTGATGAAGTTGGATTCAGGGCAAGCCGGTTTCAAGCAGTCAGTACTAATAGCATCTTCATGACCGTATCGCTCGGTTGTAAAGAAGCTTATGCGGCTCAGAGGCTCCAAAAAGTCCATCGTTTGGTAGTTCAAGTGATTTGCAAACGCCATCATGTTTCGTGAGAACGTGCGATATCTATTATAAGACGAAGTGAAAGAGGATATCAATCGTTTAAGGTCAAGAAAGGGTAGGACTAACTGAACGCAGTGCTTTTGTAAGCCTAGTCACGTGAGATGTCCTATCAAAAACACACGTGAAAATTAGAGGGGAAACAAACTTACCTGGTAGACGAAGAGAAGTCCCTCCAAACGTGTCCTGCGTAAATACATCCAGTATCAGCTTGCAACGCCATCCCGATATCTGGTAGGACTAGAGGCAGAGCCGTGGTCCACTGAAACGTGTTTGCAGCTGAAGTGGAACCTTTCGCCCGTCGACCGAAATGCTCCACCATGCCATTCGCTTGCGGATGATGAGCTATCGTTCGGAACCGAGTCCAGTCTATAGCGTTAAGGCGTGAAATAATCTACACTTGAATTGGTTCTCATGGTCAGTTGTTAGGTAGAATGAGCATTCAAGGTTTGCGGTCCGTCTTTCGACAAATGATGAGTGACAGTTTTAGCGGCAATGCCTAGCCGTCTACTAAAACCTTCCACATAGGTAGAAAGATAAGCTTATCCATACGATATTTATATGGACGAGGCCGAAACGCAGGTACGTGGGCCGAAGAGAACCTAAAAGGCCTTCCGTGTGTCGTGTGACATTACACTTCTGGCAAGCTACGCACGACTGAGCATACTCTTTAGCGTGTCTCCATTTCAGGCCAACCGAAACGCTGTGCGATAGCCTGATGGTGGCTCGTATACCTGGATGGGACACTTTGCACAACTGATTGAGGATGTTGCACCGACGTCTCCGCGGCAATATTCACCATGGTTGACTGGCGGCGAGATGGCATAAAACTGTATCTTTACCTGATTCTACTAGACACAACTGTAGCTTGAGAGTTGTGAACCACAATTCATACTTCAGCTCAGGATCCCTTTTGGAACCAAGCCACTTCCACAAGATCAGCACCTTCTGTGTGGTTTGTCAAAGCCATTCGAGACAATATCTCAGCTACGGAGTCTGACAAGGACTGGGAAATGTGATCCAGTTGTCGCGACTCACGTGGGGAGTATGTATCAGATGCTGAGCCAGGAAAGAAAATTAGCTGTTTTCGGCTTATGAAAATGATGGCGTCGCAACTTTCAACCGGGTGTCGGAAATGGCGTACACAGCATAACATAGCTGGCAGTTCCTTGACAAATGTACTGTACCGTGATTCCACCTCCTACAGCCGCCTGGATAAAAAGGCCAAAGGCTGCTGCTGATGGTCGTTCACCTGTTCCAAGACTGCTTCGATTCCTGGGCCGGGGGCGTCAACAGCAATACTCGAAGGAGTATTGGGGCCGTGATGCGAAGGTATGGTTGCACTCAAGGTGGCTTCCTCGATCTTGGAAAAAGCAGGTCCAGTCATGCTGTATAGAGAAACGCACTTTGTAACCCCTCAAAGTATATCGGCGAGCGGTCTCGTATCAGAGGCAAAGTTGGGAACAAACCTTCAGTGATAACTTTTCAGGCGATTGAACGTGCAAGGCTGCTTAGCAGTGGTCGGCTTTGGTTAGTTCACGATAGCCACCGCTTTATCTGACAATGGGAGTACACCTTTTTTGTCAGTAGTATGTCCTTGGAAGCTGAGCCATCCGACCCCAATTTCACATTTGCTTATGTTGACCGTGATATCCGCTGGATGTGCGGTTAAAATGTTCAAGGCGAGTTTCCTTATCCTGGTTTGCAATGAGACACCCACTGACTTATGTAACGGCAAAAACTCCTAGTATTTCGGTCTGGACACGGGAGACGATTCAACGGAACTACAGCAACGCGATTCGAACCGGTCGCTGCGTTCTACTGAAAAATTTCCCGAACTTCCTTGAGTCAGACACAGTCAAAGAATACCTTTCAACAACATCAAAATACTATTTGGCATGTTGAATCCGTGATGGATTTGTGGTAAATCTACAGTACTATCAAACAAAAACAAGTGTCATAATTACAAAAGCATCTCAACTGTGCCGCTGGGCTACTGTACATTTCGAAAATTTCCCTGGCGCGGAATGCGTATTATGCAGCAACCGAATACAATTGTCAAGTACCCAGGAACCAACAAGGTTGATCCTAACGAAAAGGGATCGAAACTCTGTCTATAAGGTTCAAACCCGTCAATAAACGTTTCTGGTGGACAGTCAAAAGGCTGGTGGTCAA